CCCCCCGCACTGTTTCCGCGAAGAGTTAAAGCCCTTTAAAAAGAAGAAAACAACAGGAAGTGCAGTTAGGCACGCAAACGCCTATGCTCCAGACCAGATCCTATCCCCAAGCCAATAAAAACGTGCCTTGCGAAGAAAAAGCAGGGAAAAGTCTTCATTTGCGGCTGTGGAACCAGCAGAAGTCTGGGAGGGCACGGGCAGGCTCCCAGCCCCAACCCTGGGGTCATGTCCAGGACTGCCCACAAGTTGCCAGATCACCCCCCCAGCTCCCCACGGCAATAGACACGCAGCGAGAGCAAAGGAGGTAACGTGGGGAAGGAGCGTGTGGCGCACAGGAGAGGCCAGACATCACGGTGCTTCCCAAACGTCACAACCCACCAGTCTGACAGCTTCCCAGTTCAGTCAGGTAACACCAGCCCAGGGCGGCGTACCCTCACCAGGAAAGATTTACAGCTGCCTCATCCCTACCCCTGCGGTCAGCCCTGCAACGGCATTGGAGAATAGCTCATTTGCTCCGCATATTTTATAGATTTTTTTATAGATTCTCAGAACCAAGGCAAGACGTTTTGTGCCTGCCCCTTCCACGGCGCCAGGGTGTGCCAGGGGCCAGGCTGGGACTCCCTGTTTTTTCCATGCCTCCAGGTTTTTTTTCCAGGTGGCAAGGAGGGGAATTTAAAAATCAATGAAGCGAAGTTTCAGGCCAAATTCACTGTTAAAAATATGTGCTGTCACGCTCTGAAAACCTGCTGTCCTGGAGAAGCTGGCAGGAGCCACCACACTGGACTAACCTGTCTGCCAGCCCAGGAGCCCCAAGCACACATGGATTTGGGATGTTCCCGACTGACTTCCCATTCCAGAAATCACTAAATAGTGAGCCACAAATGCAGTTTCTTCCTTCCCATCCTGAAGTGGTTTAGAGAGAAAAAAAAAACAAAAAACCCCAACCAACAACCAACCAAACCTTGAACAATTATGGCCACTGGACCATTCTTCCTAGAATAAGCAGTGATCTGCAGCATGTCAGTGATTCATTCTGCATTTCTGAGGTGCCCCATAGAAAAGCAAAAGGCAAATTTATCAAAAGGGCTCTTCAGCTTTGCCACAGCCTTGGCACAGGATCTCCTTTAAAATTTCTTCTGCCACATGATTTTCACATCAGACACCAAAAAGTACTACTGCTTTACAGCAAAAGCTAACCAGGTCCACCAATGCAAGCATCTGAAGGGAAAATTTACTTTGTCTCAAATGCTTCTATAATAGAAGAAAAGCAGCTGTACTGCACATTCCAGCTTCCTGGCCTCAAAAGCACTACCGAAGCTCCCCAAGCCCCGAGGGACAGCTGCAGAGAGAAGAGCTGAAGGAGGTGGCAAATGTCCTTCAGGGCCTGTGCCTGATTATATGCATTAAAGTAGCTAGCTCCAGGGCTGGTCTAACTTCTGCCAAGGCCTGGCTCCACCCTTCAGCCAGTCCCCAAAAATGAAGAGAACAGAATGAGTATTTAGAGTCATAGAATCATAGTATCATTTAGGTTGGAAAAGACCTTCAAGATCATCGAGTCCAACCGTCATCCGTGCCCACTAAACCATGTTCTGGAGTACCTTGTCTACATGCTTTTTGAATACCTCCAGGGATGGTGACTCAACCACTTCCCTGGGCAGCCTGTTCCAATGTCTGACAACCCTCAGTAAAAAAATTTTTCCTAATATCCAACCTAAATCTCCCTTGCCGCAACTTGAGGCCATTTCCTCTCGTCCTATCTCCAGCCACCTGACAGAAGAGACCAGCACCCACCTCACTACAACCCCCCTTCAGGTAGTTGTAGAGAGCGATAAGGTCTCCCCTCAGCCTCCTTTTCTCTGGGCTGAACAGCCTCAGTTCCCTCAGGCGCTCCTTGTAAGACTTGTGCTCCAGGCCCCTCACCAACTTGGTTGCCCTTCTCTGGACACTCTCCAGCACCTCAGTGTCTTTTCCTGCAGTGAGGGGCCCAAAACTGAACACAGTACTCGAGGTGCGGCCTCACCAGTGCTCAGTACAGGGGGACAATCACCTCCCTGCTCCACACTATTTCTGATACAGAGGCTGGCTGATATTTGGGGCTGCCTGTTGCATCTCCAGAATTGAGCAAATGACCGGATAAAAGAAAAAAAAAATTGTTTTCTTGAAGATGAGGGGAAGGGGGATTTTGCTGAAGTCACAAGACCCTGAGATGGGTTTGAGAAGAGGATAAATAATTGATGCTGCTCTTTACCGCCAGTTTGAGAGATGGTTAAGGTGCAGCATAACTCTTTAGAGATGTGAAGTTATATACAGTGTAGAAATCCCTATCTGCACCCTGGGTAATCCAACAGAAGGAACAACAAAGCAAAATAAGGATACAAAATAAGAACATCCTGGGCATCCTTAATTTGGCCATTATATCTTGTTAATTAAGGAGTTTTACTCATTAAAAGCATGGCACACAATTTCATAATCCTATTTTAAGCTCCAAAACTGAGCTTCCAACATGCACATCTCATGGGGATAAAATCTTTATTAAAAAGAAACAACACATGTACACCTAAAAACCCCAAAGCCCCCAAACAGACAAACCCACCTCATCCGAGTTTGTTTTTTAATACCTCAGACCAAAAAAAAAGTGAGCTACTACCAAAATTGACCTAATTGCATCATAGCTCAGAATAAATTGATCCTTTCACTATATATCTGGCTTAATAGCATACATTGTATTTTCATGAGCAAATGATATCACCACCCTTTAGGTCAGATTTCAAGGTGTAGTGTTGCCAATCCAGAGACATGACAGGCTTTTTATTATGTTTTCTGTTTATAATTTTGATTCAAAACCTCACTAACACTTCAGATGCACATAATCCTTATTGAAACTGGCTTGATGCGGATTACACCCTGAAGCACAAAGGAAGTCTTTATCACTTATGGCCAGTGTTTTAGGAGCTTATAACTGTAATTAGGTAGGAATTATATCAGCATGATCCATATTAGCTGAACTGTGGCAAAAAGCTTTCTTCTATTCGACCTTCCCACCTAGGGCATGACAATAATAAAAATGGTAAAACATGCAACAAAGAGGTACCACTGACAGTAGAGTCACTGTCCACTGCAGGCAGAGGATAGTACTCTGTATTTTGAAAGAAAAATTAATCATTAATTAGTGGAAGCTGATCATTGTATGGTGCATTGTTATCCAGGATTATTTCATTAGGATCTGCTGACCCAATTTCTGCATTGGAAAGGGAATTACATTTTTTCACACTGTTGGGAGGGAGAGAGGGGGAAGAAAAAAAAAAAATCATTAACACAGATTACTCAAACTTTTACAAATATGGTTGCAAGCAAGAGCAGGTACCTGTATTGGTTATTTCTACAAAAGCCAAATGAAATGAGAACGATTACAAATATGTAATCATGTCTCCACTAGAATCGGATTGGTTCTCTTAAAATACATAATTCCTAATTAAAACATATGGAATCCAGCTAATACAGCCTCATGACTAAGGGATTTAGTGGAGGACAGGAATTTTTTTATTACTGCTGTGACGATCCCCTCTGTCACAGGTCATCCTTACTTACTACTCCTGCAATCACCCTGGGGATAGCTGACTCAGATAAATTAAAAGAACTTCATTTGGGAAGCTTCCCCAACACACGAAAGGATTCGCCTCCTAATCTGTCAAAATCCAATAACGTTAAAGCAACTGCAACCTGCTTACGGCTCAGCAGGGCTCTCCGAGCCAAGGGGCAGGACCCACGGCCCAGCACCGGATGGGCGGCAGCAAGGAAGGACGGGACAAAAACCCACCTCGGAAGCCGCAGCAGCAGAGATCTCTGCTGCCGAACTGTTTTGCGCCCAAGCGCTGCAAGCTCGCATGAACCAAGTGGTTCAGCCACCCCGGAACATTGCCCATCCCCCTGCACTAACCCCTTCTCAGCAGCCACAAACATGGGAGCCTCTGCACAACATGGACCCCCATCTCCCTGGGGTCCTGCTCACTGCTCCTCCTCCTCACTGGCACAAAAACACCTCTCAACATATCTGACATTTGAGTTCCCTTATAGTAAAACACCACCACAGGTGTGCTTAATGCTCTGCCCAGATCATCTTACAACCACTCACCTGTGCGTCTCAGATCAGCAGCTAGTCGTTCATGAGGCCTTACAGCAGCCCTCTGGAAGGGGACAATGCCATGAGCCCCATTTCCAAAGTGGAGGACAGAGCTCCCCAAAACCACCCCGTAGCGGGGACAACCCTTCTACTGATACTGAGCCTACAAAACCACCACAGGCAGGTGTTTTCCCTTTCTTATAAACTCCTCTCACTTGCTGACCATTTGCATGTGCTGATCAAGTAATGCGGGAGTCAGGGAGCAACAGGACATGCATGTTCC